CTTTTATTGAACGGAAAACATTTTATCACTGTATCTTATCTTCACTACTGGCTCATTAACTCTCTCTTCCTACACACATTCCATAATGATTTTCAAGAGGGAACAATTTTGCTCTTGGGGATATTTGGCAAAGTCCATTATCTACAGCTCTATGCTTGTCACAGTGGTGAAGAGGTTGCTACTGGCATCTAGTGGGCAGAAGCCAGAGATGCAGTTGATCTAACAACCCTGATCAGTGACTCTCCTCACAGCAAAGCCAGAGATGCCCATAATGCAAAGGTCCATAAATCCTGTTCTGAAGTTCACTAAATCCATCTCTGATTTCTAGCTTCCTTCAAGTGAGAGTCTTGAATGTGAGCATCTCACAGCAGTGTCATCCTATCTCCTCCTTCCTACATTGCTTTCCTTGTCCCATACTGTTAGCTGTGGTTCTCAGCACCTAACTAGTCTGATCGGATCTATCTCTCTGGGTTCAGTTTTCACCATAAGAGGTAGATATTATGTGAGAATTAACATAAAGAATGTGATAAGCACAATCATGGATATTACAGATGCTAAAATTCACTAATTATTATAACACCTAAGAGAGAGGACTTGAATAAAGTCCTTCTGAAATAAAGGAACAGAAGAACACACCTGAAGAGAAGTGTGCTAACTTGTGCTGCAGCTGCCTCTCTGTTCTCCAAACATGACAAGGAAACCACAGCCTACTGGGCTGGCTGGAAAAACTTGACTCTAAAGAGAATGTCAGGAATCTTTTGACCTCTGATACATAATCCCGTTTATTTACCTCCATTTAATTGAAGACATCTGTAAGTGGTGCCACACAAAATGTAACTCAGACTCAGAAATGTCAATAAAAATGTCTATAAGGCAAACGTTACACTAAACCTAGCAGGGAAGTGTACATCAGCAGCTATACAGAGCCACACAAACTTAGAAATATAAGAGAAATATGCTGCCTGGTTTGACAAGTGATAAACGCTCTTTTCCCATAAAGCTTAATGAGTGCTATTAGTCTTCAAGAATGAAAAAGGGTCAGCCCCACAGAGAGAAGTAACCGACTCTCCACACATGGTCCATTCGAGTGACAACGTATCAGATTACTGACGTAATTACTATTAACCTGACAATTTCATTAGAGTCATGTGGCAGTTAAATGGCTAGAACTTACACAACAAAGGGACCTGGTTCATTCATGGGACTTATTATGGAAAAAGTGAATCTTAAAGTCAGCTTTGTCAACTGCAAGTCTCCTACATTTTACTGTCTCTACTGAAGTTATTAGTCTATTCTTAAAATTTGGAAGGTGACATACCTATCATAGCAAAATTAAACTTGTAGAGGCTTCCAGCATTCTCTTGCCCTGGCTTGGCTTTGCCTCTAAGGCAATGTGTAGTGAAATGGAACTGACTGAGCTCTAAGCTACTGAAGGAGATTTGGGGATGGCAGCCATTCAGCAAACCATCAGACAGCACTTGTGGAATTCCAAGCTAAAGGAATATCAACAGAAACCCTCACAGTATTTCCTACCAGAGAAGGGGGTGGGGTGAGGTAATCATCTTTAATTATTTTATCTTCTTCCTATTTATCAAAAATTGTTTTAAAAATCAACTTGACTGCCAGGCGGTGGTGGTACACTCCTTTAATCCCAGTACTTGGGAGGCAGGGGCAGGTGGATCTTTGTGAGTTCCAGACCAGCCTAGTCTACAAAAGCTAGTTCCAGGACAGCCTCCAAAGCCACAGAGAAACCCTGTGTCGAAAAACAAAAACAAACAAACAAAAAAACCCAAAAAACAAACAAACAAAAAAAATCAACTTGACCAAGATGCAACACAATTTCAAATCACTGAGTGAAAAAAAACAACAGAAAATGACAATCACTCAATTCTGATGGTGATATTCTTCTTTAATACTTTTCATCAAAAACTACAGATCCCATACACTTAGCACCTCACTTAACCATAAAAGTTAGTAAACTCCAAGTCATTTCTACAACTGATAGCATTCAAAGGTGAAAAAACAAAGCTTTCAATCTTAAGTAAGTTCAATAAAGCTAGGTATAGTGGGAAATTACCAATACAGAGTCAGGTAGAAATATAAGGGTATTTAATAGAGAAAAGCCTTACTTACAGAGCAACCTAGCCAATCGGTGTGGCAGCAGTCTGTACAAAAGTGAAACCGAAAGAGAAAAATCTCACTCTATGCCACCCTGACCACGCCCTCACAAGCTTGGCTACAGCTTCCCTTACAATTCCCCTTTTAGTCTAAAAGAGGATTAAAACTTAACAGTGTAAAGTATCCAAAATTAACAATCATAAAGGTGAAATATAAGAAGATACAACAATTTGCTTATGTCACATCATAGCTATCTATTTTAACTAAATCCTAAAGTCATCTGAAAGAGGTGTTCAAGCCTGAACACCTCCTTCCAATGAATGCAGTTTAGAAAAAATGACGCCCATATTCCCAAATATTGTTTATAAATGTTTGTTTTCATTTAAATGAGGTTAGTTATAAATGATAATGAACATACTCAATTTTTTAAAGAAAGAAAAAGGGGAATAGGATATAGGAATGAATACTTTACATTGGTATAGATTTTCATTTATTGATACAACTTTAAAGTCAATTTTGTAATATGTATATGTCTACTCTTGTTTAGGTATTGTGTTTATACAGATCTTTTAAAATGATATACATAATTAAATATAGGTTATATAGTTACCTATAATAGTCAGAACTTATAATTAAGTTAGGTTTTCTAGATATAGAGATGTATTTGAGATGGATAGGTATTCTTCAAACTTTTCAAAGACCGACAGATATATGGCATTTAAATAGTTTAGGGGTTTTTCTTGGCAGTGAGACACAACTGCTCCTGGCACACCAATTACATCAAAGGAGGATGGGCACCAAAGAAATTCGTTATGGAGTTTGCTTTCAACATGGCAAGATTAGCCATTTGGGCAAGAAACTACTCTTGCCTGGACTGTTTGTTGCTATATAAACTGGACATACAGGACCCACAAGAAAATGACTGCTAAACTTACAAAATAAGACAGTACTGGAGGGTTCCTGTTAAAAATGGAAAAGTGTGCCAGATACACTGTGGCCTATGGGCTGAAGATGGATGCCCCAACATTACAGAGAAACTTTAGGTGACTGTCCAGGTAGCGTGATGTCTCTGTCAATTCTAGAGTTTATATATTATCCTTCTGTGGTCTTTAAGACAGTACTGGAGGGTTCCTGTTAAAAATGGAAAAGTGTGCCAGATACACTGTGGCCTATGGGCTGAAGATGGATGCCCCAA